CCCGGCACCCCGCCCCTCCCTGCGGGCAGCGCCACCCCCGAGGCCCCTAGAGTGTCTTTTTCACACGTCTCCCTCCCTCCTCTCTCCGTTCTGTGCTCCAGACACCACTAACTGTATGGAAATGATGACGGGGAGGCTTTCCAAATGTGGTAAGAACCCCTCATGCTCACGGCCCCCCCAGCCTGCCACCCCACTGCTCATGCCCACCTGTGGCCAGGTGCTCCTGGGCTATCCCGGGTCGCCGGGCACACGTGCTCAGCCGGGCACTGTCTCCCCAGGCAGCTACAGCTCTGGCTCTTGCATGGGGGCTGGGCAGGCAAGGACCCCCCAGACTCAGCGCAGGGGAGGGTCCCTGGGGGCCACGGCATGGGCGCCCGGCCTTGGGCAGGAGGCTGGCTTCAGGCCCTCCGTCCACGGGGAGGGAGGGGCCACTCCTGAGGCTGAGGGCCACCCCCGTTCTGGGCTCAGGAAGTGGAGCTGAGGTTCCCCCTGGGCACCCAGGCAGGGAACACAGGCCCCCGAGGGGTTGGTCACCCCGCTTCCGGCCCCCTTGCCGGGGGGCCTCCACTCTGGCTGCCTGCTGCCCACAGCCCCTCGCACCCTACCTTCCATGCTTGTCCACCCATCTGTCCATCTGTCTGTCTGCCGCTGCCCTCTGTCCACGCAGAGCCCCCACTCCCTGGGAGAAGTGTGACAGGCAGCTGGCCGCTCCCGGCCAGAGCCGGCCCTGGGGCCTCGGCGCCCACCGGCCGCGCTGTGTCCGTGCCCAGCCCTGCTCTTCCTGCTGGCCCCTAGCGGGGTCGCTGGCCAGCAAGGCCACGGGCCGACAAGGGCGGCGAGACGGGCGCCGGCTCAGCGGGGCTCAGGTGGAGGGCCGGCCGCCCGCCTGAGCCCCGCGCCGCTGGCTCGCCGCCCCGAGGCCGTGGTTCATGTGTGTTCTCTCTCCCCCGCCCCGTTTTCTCTCTTGTCTCCGTTCTGTGTACCCAGGCAGCCCATTGAGTAACTTCTTTGACGTAATTAAACAACTTTTTTCAGACGAGAAGAACGGGCAGGCGGCCCAGGCCCCCAGCACGCCCGCCAAGCGGAGTGCCCAGGGCCCCCTCGGTGACGCCACGGCCGCGGGCCCTGGCCCCGGC